TGATTCCAGTCAAGGGCACATGTCCGAGTGGTGGGCCCAATCTCCAATGTGGGCCCAATCCCCAATAGGGTGAGCAGGAGGAGGCCAATCAAAGATTCTCCCTCATCATTCATGTTTCTATCTCTCTCCCTCCCTCTCCTTTCTCTCTGAAATCAATAAAAATATAAATTTTTTAGAAATGAACATGAGCTTCTCCCTTCAGGAAATATCACCTGGCAGGTACCAACTGACAGTCCTGTTGTCTTGATAAAATGTCAGAAAACGAGAATTTTGGAACAGGTGTGTCCCACCATGTCAGCTAGACCGCTTCCCAGTGCTGACACGCTTTCCTAGGGGGCTCTGTGGGAACAGCAACACCTGTGAGCTTTGATGACGAGATTCAATGCATCAGCCCGGGAAGATCTCTGGGACTTAGAGACACAAGGCATCACTTTACATGACCTGCATGAGGACAAGAGCCACCCAGCAAGACAGCCCTGGGGACTGTGACAGAACAGAACAGAAATGATTCAATAATGGTTCAGGTTTCACTCGGTGGTTGAACATTGACCTATGAACCAGGAGGTCACAGCTCAACTTTTTGTCAGAGCACATGCCTGTGTTGTAGGCTCCATCCCCAGTGTGGGGCATGTAGGAGGCAGCTGATCAATGATTACTTCTTATTATTGATGTTTCTATCAATCAAAATATATTTTAAGAAATTTGATTTCAGAGAGGAACTGAGAGGGACACAGAGATGGAAACATCCATGATGGAAGAGAATCGTGGACAGGCTGCCTCCTGCACGCCCCCGACTGGGGATCCAGCCCGCCACCCTGCAGGTGCCTCATCAGGAATAGAACGGTGAGAGTCTGGGGGGGCAGCTCCGTGTGAGGGACTCCCCAGCACCTGGGTTTCACTTCTCCTCTCCCAACCTGTGTCGGCGCCTCCTTCCTGGAGACTCGTGACGCGGCTACACTTCTCACTCCCATTGGCTGAGCACTTTCCAGAGCAGCCAATCAGCGTCCCCGAGGCTCCTGGTTGTAACTCCTACGCGGAAGCGCCCGGACTCAGATGGTCCCCCCGACGCCGAGGATGCGGGTCATGAGGCCCCCCCCCCTCCTCCTGCTGCTCTCGGGGGCGCT